TCAGAGATCCATTGTCTGGGGATATTGCTGTGGCAGGGTGTGCAACCTTGGCATGGGAAAGAAGGGCAGTTCTGTGCTAACTCCTCTCTAGCTGAATAAAATCTTTCCCAATGGACTTCAAAGCATCTCTTACCTTCCCCATACCCCCTTGAAAGAATTGCTATAGAGAAGCAGGAATGAGCATGAAGTGGAGAGAGATGGATTTGATGCCATACTGGAAAAGTGCTGTGATGGGTCAGGGCTCTCCAGGCAGCTGCTCCAGGGAACTCTTCCCAGCTGCTTTTCCATGGCCAGGGCAGTGCTGCAGGCTGCTGGGTGATGCTGCAGGTGGTTTGCTGAGGAAAATCAGGAGCTGATACCTAAAGTGGACTAACCTGGGTTGCAGGCTTGCAGTTACATGTAAAATTCAAGGGAGTGGTTGTAACTCAGAACTGCTCCAAAACCAATAATCCGTGAGTGTGAGGTAGGGACTGTTATCTGTGTGTAAATGTGGTCATTGTGTGTTTTACATTTCAGTGGAAGCTTTGATCACTAAGTGCTGCAGTCTCATACCTGGACAAGAAGAGCCCCTGAGATTTTATTTGGCCAGCAGTGTGGCAGTGCTACATCCTACTGCTACATATGCTTGTTTAAAGGAGCAGTGGGTTTTTGGACAAAGAATAATTATGGCTGTGGAAGTGAGAGATTCTGGCTTGCAGGAAAGACAATTCTTGGATGATAAACTGATGGGGTTTGTAGTTTGATTTAAACCTGACTGTGTCCTTCTTTCTTTACTAGGCCATGAGCTAACTAAAAATAAGGATATAATTAGGAGACCTGGAGCATGTTAAGGTGCTTAAACTGACCTTTTAGACATGAAGCAAGCAAAAGAAAAGTCATGATGGTTGTGAAAGGTTCATAAAATGTGAAAAGGGAAGGTGCATACAACAGGCAAGGAAGTACAGAGCATAGATTTAAGTAAGAAAAATGAAAAGCAAACCAGCAAACAGCTGACTTAGGGGATTGGAGTTCTCTATAAAGAAGTTGAAGTTAAAAGAGAATAAAATTAAGCCAAGAAACAAAGGAGATTATAGAAGACATTGAACAAAGCATTTTTAAACAATGAAAGTTCCAAAAATAAAAGCATAGAAAAAGGAGATCAAAGAGACACCATTTAGTCAGATACAAATAAAAATATAAATTGGAAAAAAATAAGAAAAAAACCCCAAACTAAAGAATTAAGAGACCTTATTTGCTTTCAGACAAGCAAAAAGGGATTTATGCAAAGGAAAAGTAATATCACCTGTTATTAAAGTGCCCTTGCAAACAGACAGATGAGAGTGGCCACTGTGCTGGAGGGTAAAATGTTAATAACCATTGATGCTACAGTGATTGTGGTTAAATGCATGAGTTAAGGAAAATTCCTACAGACACCTGGACAGGAATGGAAGGATTTAAGGAAATTAGAGTGGGAAAATTGGAAATCAGTGTAGGGAAACTATGAAAAGAGGAAAAGTTGAAGAAAATTTCTGTGCCGTTTAAAATTTCTGTGCAGATTTTGAAGAAATTTCACCAAAAGCAAAAGACTAAAGCATCTTAAACAGATAAATGCAGATAAATAACATACAAACAAAAGTAGGTTTGTGAATCCCAAAAGTAGAAAGGCAGGTTGTGAAAACTGTTGGTTACTTTGAACACAGCAGGTAAAAAACAGGAGCTGTGTAAGAATCTGAAGGACAAGTCTTGAATCAGAAATGAACCTGTATTTGTGCTCTGCTGGGCTTGTGGTTTGTTTTGTGCCTCAGTAGAAACAGCAGAAAATAAATTTTAGTTTAAATGTAATATTCAACGACGTATAGCTGAAAAGTCACAGTAGTTTTGGCAAGAAAAATTTACTTTAAAATGTAAATAGTATTGTGGGCACTAACACACCAGTTGACAGTTTAAGGGATGTGGTCATTGGTGCATTGGTTCAGCTAACTTGACTTAAAAGGTTTAATTTCAACATCTTTTTGCAAAACATATTACATTAGCATATCTAAAAGCCGTGACGGGATTGAAGGATTGTCTAGTTGAAAGACAAGACTGAAAAAGTCAGCCAATGGACAGGGCATATTTTCAAAGGTTATTATACAAATAGAGGAGAACAGGTTTTAAAATATCCATTTGAAAGAAGAAAGAAATATATTGTAGAAAGTCATTGAATTGTTTTGAGGAAAATGGCGATGAGGGGGCAGTAGCACAAATATCTCAGCAACTTGGTCTCTATGGCTTGAAGGCTTTCCCAGTTTTCCTGTTGTTTCTCTTCCCTCACAGCCTGTCATTCTACTTTTTTTTTTTTTTTTAATTTAGCAAAGATTTTATTGCTAAAATAATGAAGCACCCATCATTGTTCCATTCCTGAGAGCTCTCCTCCCTGGGGGCTGCTCTCCAGTGGTGGTCACAGGGCAGGGGAGGCGCTCAGCTTCTTGACATTCCTGACTGTGAGCGTGAGTAAAAAAGCAGGGACTGTGCTCTGACTTGGCACCATCACACCCAGGCTCCCAGAGTTAAATCAGGTGAAATCTGGTGCCTTTCTCTGAGTCAGGGTGGATGGCTTTGGGTCACCTCATCTTGCACAGCAACTCTGTGGCCTCTTGGCTGCCCTGTGGACACTGAAAAGTTCCTGGGCATTGCACACACACTGCACACCAGTGGGAATGGCTGGAGCACATTGCTCAGGATGGACTCCTGCTCTGAACCTGTGCAGTGGTGATCTAAAAAACAAGGAAAAATGTACATACAGTGGGCAAAAGCTGGGAACACCAGGGGAACTTCCACCAAAATAAGCTTGGTGCATCACTTTTCACATGCTTCTGAATGATTCACTTCCCACTCTGTGATTGGGAGGGTGCAATGCTGCACACCTGGGGGAGTGAAGAAATTGGTGTATGAATACAGCCTGCAGAAAATCCAGGGTGCAGGGGTCAGTTATTCATCCTGACACTGAAGAGACTTCTTTGATATATAAGCTGCAGTTAGCATGAGAAATATATGGATCCAAGGGACCAATCATTGAAACATTTAAATATGGAAACAAAGTGTGGGTTCTGCGTTAAGAAAAAAAAAGAGCTATAATTTGTAAAATAGATGAAAGGAATGGTATGGATGACAAACAACAGACAGCTGGCTGATGGAGCTCTTTAGAAAGGACATTTCACTGTTTTGATGTACCCCCTTGCTGTGTTAGTGGGTGTCTGATCTGTGATTTGTTGTTTAATGTGCAGTGGTGTGTGACCAACTAGAAGCAATAAACCACAAAGGTAAATTAAAAGGTAAATTAACAGTCTTAACTACTGGAACATGATGGATGAAATTATATTTCATTTCTCTTTCATACCAAATGGCTTCCTTTGCCCAATCTACTTCTCCCATAGCACCTCCAGTTTCCTTCTTGCCTCTGCAATTCCTCAGAGACACATATGTCCACAAGATGGTACTAGGCTACCAGTAGCCCCTACGATGGCTGGTCAGTGAAGGCTCTTGAAATTGCTGCTGCTCAGGTGTCACCAGAGAAGTTCACTCAAAAAAATCTCATTAGTGTTGTTTCCTATGAGAGGCATTAAGGCCAAAACACCTGTTTGGTTGTTTTTTAAAATGAAACAAAATTCCATCAGGAATCAGAGCAGATCATTGCTGTGACTGATGCTCTGCACATTCACACCTGTTTTGTACCAGATAGCTTCATTATTGCCTTTGGATCCACTTCCAATGTCAACTAATAAACTAACTTACAAAAGAGAAGAATGAGGCCATGAATTACAGTAGCTTTATAAATCTGTGTTTTGACATATTTAAAAAAGAGAAATTTGACCTAATGTATTATAAATACCTCATTTGCTTTAAGCAATTATTGTAATCTATCACATTGATGCAGCCAACACAAATATGTGCTACATTTCTCATGCTAAAAATTGTTCAAACAGGCTTGAATAAATTGTTAATACTCTATAAGCTGCTAGTGGAATAGCTCAATGATTAGCTCTTCTCTTCACATGATTCAAAGGCATTAGTGACACTGCTGACTAATGACTTGCAAAATTTTTGTTAAAGACACAGGTACATTTTTAAATGGCAGCCCAGTTCTTAAATCAATGGCATTTCAGGCTTTGAAACTGCAAAGCTTTGTTACATTGGTTTATGTAAAATTAGCGTTTGATTAATTTTTTTTTAAATGACACCACATATAATCATGTTAATTCTGTTGTGATGATAGATTCAAGTTACTCTTGAAAAGTATCTTCTCATAATACGATTACTGGAATACTGTTAATCCTGACTGTATGAAGGAAGCTGTGATGTTAATTACAGACGGTGAACTGCTTTCTCATCAGCACCGTACAAATGGAGTGATAAATAAGGCCCCTGATAGCTTGGAAACCATTTGTTATTACTGATCAGACCGCATGTGCTTAGGCAGTAGAAAGGGTAAGCAGCCCCTACGAGGAGAGGTGCCCACCTTTAGTATACTTGGTACTTGTTTCACTAATTTTAATACAATTAAGTGGAGATGACCACATCAGTATGGTCATAATGAAAGCCCTCAGTGGGAGATCTGAAGTAATGAGGAGAGCACATAATTTGTGACTCGAGGCCCTTTAAAGGAGCCCGCGTGTTTAATTGGCTTAATAAAATTAAGATCATGAATGAGGCTGTCATTGTACCAGGGCCACCGAGGGAGGCTCAGGACCTGAAGGCCTGACCCAGTCAGACCCAGCAGGGCCCAGGCCCGCCTATCCCAGCGAGAGCTCCAGGGTGACCGGCCCGGCCTGGGAGCGCACGGCCGTGCCATCTGCGGGGCTTCCTTTCTGTGGCGGCGGGATCGTCCCGCAGGTGTCCCTCCGGGCTGCTCCGGGAGGCGGGCTGCCGGCCGCGCTCTCCGGGGCCGAGCCGAGCGGGGCCCGCCCAGCGGGGCGCGTCACGGCGGCGGCGCGGCGGGGCGGGGGCGGCGCCGGCCGCAGTCGGCACGGGGCGGGCAGCGAGCGGCGCGCCGGCTGCGCGCACCCCGCACACGGCGCGCTGCCACCGAGGGAGGGAGGGAGCGAGCACCATGTGCCGGCCAGCGCTCGCCCGGCTGCTGCTCCTCCAGCTGCTGCTGCTCAAGCTGCACCTCGGCAAAGGTGGGTCCGGCGCGGTGCGGCCGCTCTCCCTCCGCGCCGGGGTCCCCCGGCCTCAGCGCTGCCGGGGAGGAGGCGAGCGTCCTGCCGGCACGGGCACCCCGGGATGTGCGGCCGCGGATGCCCGCTCGCCCCGGTGCCCTGCGCGGGGTTTGGGACGCGGAGGGCCGGGCACGCTCGGGGTTGCGACCTGCGGGGGCCGGGCAAGCTCTTCAGGCGGGCGAATGGAGCCCGAGAGCTGGTGACAGGAGTTGCCACCTTTAATCCCTTTCAGAGGGGATTTGTGCCTCATCAGAGCAGCGCGGCACCGAGTCTGTAAAGCAGATTTGCTCCGTTCTCCCCCCGCCCTCAACTTTAGTTGGGTCGGGTCCTTTTCCCGGGACGGCGCCGGTGCCTTTTCCGCCCCGCGTCCCCAGGTGTCGGTGCGTTTTGCCCCGGCAACGGATGCGCAGGAGGTCCCAGCATCACTGCGCTTTATAATTTTTCTTTGTCTGTTGTGTTTCGGGTTTAACCATATTCTATTCCCAGGCTCCTTTTCCCTCCGCCTTTAAAACAATGCGGGGAAGCACGGGAATGTCCTCTTTTATCCCTGCACAAAGCAGCTTCGGGATCGCCGCCGTGCTCCCGCGGAGGCGCGTCTCCCCCAGCCCCGCACCGAGCCGCTGTGCCCCGGCGAGCCCGGCCCCAGCCTCGCACCGAGCCGCTGTGCCCCGGCGAGCCCGGCCCCAGCCCCGCACCGAGCCGCTGTGCCCCGGCGAGCCCAGCCGTAGCCCCCACTCGGCCGGCGGCGACTCCCGGCGTCCTGCCCGGGCTGTCCGCGGCCGGGGCGGGCGGCGAGGCGGCCCCGGGATACCCCCACTGCCCGGCCGTGGGAGCGCGCCCCGCTGACCCAGGCGCGGCCCCGTGTCTCGCAGGCGCCGTCAAGGAGTGCGAGGAGAACCAGTTCCAGTGTCGGAACGAGCGGTGCATCCCCGCCATCTGGAAATGCGACGAGGACGACGACTGCTCGGATAACAGTGACGAGGCGGATTGCCGTGAGTATCCGTGCCCCGCACGGGGCGGGGGTGCCGGGCAGGGCGCGCTTCCCAGCTGCGCCTCTTTTTTATGAATGAATGAATGAAGTCGCGCCGTCCCCGGCCGCGGCGCCGATTGGCTGCGGGCAGCAGCAGATCCGTGACGCGGCGCCGCGGGGCAGCGGCTCCTCGCTGCCGGCTCGCCCGGCCCGGCCCGGCCGGGATGCCCGGAGCGGTGTTCGGTAGCGCGGGTCTGGCAGCAGCCGTCGCCGGGCAGCTCCCTGCCCTCCCTCTGCCCGGACCCCCGCCTTCAGCAGCGCCTCTGCTCAGAGCGCCTCAAGGAACACACAGTTTGTGTCCTCGGGGCAGTTGGGAGAGATGTCAAACCCCGGAAGAGCCCGTGCTTAGGGCGAGTGACAGGTGCTCATGTGAAATGTTGCTTACTCATTATCATCCTACAAGATGTGCGGTGGGTGTGGATCTTGTATTTAAATATGTTTGCAGTCAGGGTGACAAGGCAGATGAACAAGTAGCACTTCTTGGTTTGGCAGTGTCAGCCATGCAACACTAATTCCTTCATAGTGTAAGGGAAAAGAGAGCAAGATCTATACTTCCAATCCTGAAAAATTCCTTCATAGTGTAAGGGAAAAGAGAGCAAGATCTATACTTCCAATCCTGAAAAAATGGCGCTCGTTCCTTCTCCTGTGGTGTGGCCCTGGTGTGTATCAGTGGAAACCCATAAACTCTGGGTACTTTGTAGGGTTGTGCTGTTATAACTTGGCTGTTATTTTGGTTACAGCTTCTGAAATCCTCGGAGAACTTGTCTCAGCCATGGAGTGTAAGAAGCATCTGTAAAAGAAATTACAGAGCCTAAATCTTGAAGAGAAGTGTCTTTAATTTGGGGTTTAAAATTGCAAATATTGTAGCAAGTACCACATCTCTTGAATTATCTCTGTAGAATAATAGGCACTGAATGTGCATTCAGTGAGTGAACTCTTCAAAGCTCATAGACCCAGTGAATGCATCACAAAAAGAAAGGTCACTGATTATGTGTTTTTCCATATGTGATTTTCCTGCTAACATCTTCTCATGTAAGTCTGTCAGGTGATATTTGGAGTGAAGTCTGAGTAGATCAGTTTAAGGAGAGCAGGGATTCCCAAACTCTTAAATTATCACAAGATGTTCCCTGTGATTACCCCATAACATTTCTTTCTGGTTGCTGTCTTTATTCAGAGGACTTGATTGACTTTATATATGATATTTTTTATGATCTGGGGAGTAGGCAGCATTAATTGAGACATAGAAATGGTTCTTACAGGAATTATAATGGCACTATTTTGAGGCAACTTAGATGTGGAATGTTTCAAATTGGCAAAAGAGTCGGGGAAGCTGGGGGTGACTGAGAACTACTGTGGACTCTTGTGCAGTCATAACTGGGAAAGTTTTCTCAGAAGTGTCTGTGTTTCCCAAGAGAGACAGTAATCTGTGGAAGCACTGAGAATCTCTGAGCAGGTGTATAATGGTGTTCTTGAAGCCTTCAATTTCAAACCTCTGTGCACTGTGGTGCAAAGGCTTGCTGAGCTTGGGTGACCTGTGGGCAGTGCTTTTGGAGCTGCTTTTCGAGGCTGGGATTGTGGCTGGAGGAGCATCTTGAATGGATTCTGGACCCTGCACTCAACACAGAAGAGTAGGTTTGTGTCCTGAGCTCTTGCCCTGAATGAGTGAGGGGCTCAGTATCTGGGCAGCTTTTTTATTTTCTCCTTATAAGCAACCTTCTGAGCATTGTGTCAAAAGAGAGAGTGTAGAACAACCTGCTGCTGAACATCAGCTCAGTGTGGTCTGAGCTATGTTATAATGCTTATTGCATCTGATTTAGGTTTATTTCACAGGGGTTTTATAGTTGTTGGGTTTGGGGGTGGTAAAAACATGTCCTTCACTTTAATCTGAATTTGGCATTTATTACTGATTGGGAATTGGACTACAGAAATTGTTCACGGACTGTTTATTTAGTTCATAAATAGAGAGATTTTGCAGTTGCTTCTTCAAGCAGGCTGAAAGACAAAAATTACAATTGTCATGCACATTTTTCTCACTTAGATTTTTCTGAACACTGCTTTGTTTTGAAAGTGCATACTGTTTTTCAGCATATGGAATGTTTGGAGTTCTACTCACTGGGTGAAAAAATACATTCCATGTTTTCACTTCTAGATACTGCCTCTGTTATCACTGCTGTAATAAACAGAAATTTATTTTAAAACTATTTTATGAACATATGCAATAGAAGAAACTGTTTTGGAAAACTCAGCATGCCAGAGTGGTGATGGAGAGGGAAATGAATATGCAGGTAGCCTGCTGGCAGTGAGTACTGATAAGGACCCTGATAACCTCTGTAATTACTTGATGATTCCTTCTCCCAGAGCTAATAATGTATTTGTAATAGCTCATTGCTGCTTGTGTATATTCTCCCCTTTTAAAGAGACAGGATGGTCGTTATGGTGTGCAGAATTGGTTTGTGAAACCAATTCCTTGTGGCAGACAGTGTGATACACTGGAAAATTTTGTAACCAAGAATATCTTAAATAGTTGGAAAGAGTTGATTTTTTTTTGGCAGGACTCTGTGGGCTTCCTATGAGAAATCATCTTTGAACAAGACTGAATTTTAATTTGTTTGTTGTTATCTGTGTCCCCTTTGTGTTGTGTCCTGCATCTGTCCCTGTTTCCCCAACCTCCGAGCCCCCATGATTTGCTGGCATCATGTTTTGGATTCTAAGGAGAATGTTTCAGTAATCAAAGTGAATTGCATCCTTGGCATTTGATTTCAACTGAGTAATCCTTTTCTGTCGTGGCTGGGAGTTCAACTTATGTACCCTAGGACTGATGTGTGAGTTAATACAGCAGACATGGACCTGAAGGCAGCATTGGTTTTTTGGTGTATTAAGTTTATCCAGGACAGGGTTTCTGGGTTAGCAAAAGAACAGTAGCCAAGGAGGCTGCCAGGAGGGGAGGAGATGGTGCTCGTTGTGTGTAGGCACATGACTTGTGAAGTGTTAACAAGAGAAAAGGAGGAGACACTAATTTGTGTGCATTGTAGAAATATATAAAAATAAAGCAGTAAACAGATTGCCTAAATATGAAGCTGCTGTTTTGCTGTCATGTTTTCAGCAATTTATACCATTTTGAGAAAAGGAAGATAAAAAGGGAGTAGATATGTTCCTTAAAATGTATCTTTGGAAAGGAAGCTAAACTACAGAGAGATAACCAGTGGAAGTTACATTGTTTGGATTGCTGGGGAAATAATGTTTTAAACTTTGGAATTAGAAATCTTGGGTACCTACTGCAGAGTTTAAACCTGTCCTAAAACTATTTGTTCTGCTCTATGCAAAAAGATTTGCTTGGGCTCAGCCCAGTCTGTGTAGGCCTGGAAAAACAAAATCCTGGTCACAACTTACAGCTTTCAATGCCACAATCTGCACTAAACGTGGTCCATACAATGAGGACAGGGCCCCAGCGCAATTCTGAACATGATTTCTGTAGATGCATTTTCGTCCTTCCCTGTGATACATTTTCCTCTTTGGAAATACTGCAAAGACACTTACAAGCTTTTTCAGACAATGCTTGCAGATGACAGTCATTGAGACATTTTCTGTAATGGTACAGCAGCAACTTTATAAAACATCAAAGCTACTTTTATAGTGGGAAAAATGTCCATGTTCTGAGGCACAGTGTTTTAGCAAAAGCATTCTTTGCTGAGATACTCAAAAAGTGGGATACTGACTTTTTTCTGTGTCTCCCTCAGGAAGGGTGGAGGCTGCAAAGCCAGGTCAGACTAGGGATGTGTGTGCTGTGTGTCCAGGGTGCTGTGATAATCACCCAGAGGGGAAAATCCTAGAGCTCTGTTCTGAAGGGGGAGTGGCTCTTGGAGGCTTTTCCCCAGCTTTACAAGTTTATTCCTGCTTGCCATTGTAGCCAGCAGAAAATGAGGAAGACCTTGCAAACAGCTGCCAGACGCAATATATTTGACGCAAAGAAGGAGCTCTTACTTTGATAGCTGTTTGATTTTATTTTTATGACGTAAGTATGATTTATTTTAACCCAGACCTGAGTGTGGGTGAAAGAGACTGGAGGATCTCTGCTCAAATGTTTCACTCTTGAATAAACACTAAATGTGGCAAAGAGTATAGTTGCAGAAAGCAATGAGTAGCTTAACCAGTTTCCTAAAATGAATCACAAGCTGCAGGATCATTTCAGCTTTGTAATACCTGCCTGCAGGGGGACACAGCCAAATGCAGAATTACTATTTCTTGTTTAAAGCTCCATTTTCCACCTTTGCACTGGTATCCTTTCTGTGATGTTGCTTGCTGGTGAGGACTGCTCATGGGGATATTTTATGGACAGGGTTGAGGCTGCCTCAGGTGTGCGATGCAGTCTGAAGGGAGTTACTGTTTCAAAAGCTGTTCCCGTGTGTACAGAATGGAAGGTAAACATGTGGCCTCAGCAAACCTCCCCTACCTCAGCCCTTGCCTGCCTTGTGGCTACAGGAGGTGGCTGTGTAGCTGAGACACATTTCCTTTGCAGCTGGGAGGAAGGAGGAGTCCTGTGCTCCCACTGGCTTTGTACAGAGAATTTGACTCCTGCTGCCTGTGTGGAAGCCCAGGAGGCAGCCTCATGGTCTCTGTGCTTGTCAGTTTAGGTTTCACTACAGCTGGAATTTGGGAGTAAAAACATATCAAAAAACCCATTTGAAAACTAAATTCTGGATCCTGTGCAGAGTTAAGTGTGGTCTGGGTGGCTTTGAAGTGCAGGAGTGTAATGGTGTGCCAGGCTTGCAGCTTTTGGGGCATGACCAAGTGGCACAGTAGGCACTCACAATGCCACATGTATTCTATAACTTTTTTTCCTCTGTTATGCATTGCTGCAATTTCTCTTTCTGTTTCATATTGAGCCAGTGTCCTGTATGTTGAGTGATTGCTGCCCTGGAGATCCTGTGCATGTCATCATGTGGAGTTTTAGGGTTCCCTGGC